CGATTAAAATGATTTTTAAACATCATTCATATAAAGGTGAGAAAAAAGTGTCCTAGAACTCCCATTTTCGCCCTACTGAAGCAGGTTGAAGCAGAAGACTTCAAGAACAAAAAAAAAGCTAACAAAGATAGCACAACAAAACAGCTTTAAAGTCTACAGTACATCAATTTGAAGAATCTCTTAAGACTACTGGAACAAACTAACAAAAAACAAGAAGAAAAGTAGAAAAAGAAAAGAAAAAGATGCAAGTTCAACAAGAGAAAAAACAAGCTGCTAAAAATAAAATCGAAGTTAAACTTAGATTGAAACAAAAAACTTCAAGAACAAAGGAAATCTGACTAGGGTTTCTACGAACCTGAACCAAATCAAACTTTAAATATGGTTTGGGTTCAGTTTGAAATTCAAATCAAACTCGAACTCAAACTATTTTTATAGTTAAGTTTGGTTTGAGTTTGAATATCAAACTTCTGGCTTGGTTCGGACTTGATTTGAGTTCGATTCGAAAGTTTCAAACATATTTGAAAGTTTGGGCCCAATTATTAGATCCTATTTCATTTCATGATTCATGAATAATATGTGCCAATTTTGGATCAACCTAAATTGTATAATAATGCAGGACAAATAGAATACAAAACCTGTATTTTTTCCTAAAATAATATAAACTTTTATATGAAACTAAAAAAGATATCCCTAAATATACTGGGCTTACATATTTATCATAGACCCACTTGTATGCAACTTTAAAATTTATTTGTACATAATGTTCACACTAAACTTGTAAACCTTAGGTCTAACGCTAACACTAAATTTTCTATTTAGAAAAGGTAATCATATATTGTATATTATTCTTAAATTTGTTAATTTATTCATTATTGATTTGTTAGTGCAGTGAAAAAAAAGATCTGGAAATAAGTTTCACTCTGCGAATGATCATCCATTATGTGATAATATTTATTATTATTGCTCGATCAGAGATTTTATTGCTAAACGAAGAAGAAACATATGAGAATAGGCTCGCTATCAAAACAGGCTCCAATCTTTACATGAGTGATAATACAGTACAACCCATGCCCTTTTCAAGACTAGTCCCAAACCAAACCTTGCACCATCCTCATGCTCTAAACCAATCCACTAATCGTCACAAGGACAATTACAATAGCTACAATGAACAGCATTCCCAGAATGACGAAGGCAGGTATTCACATAGCTAAAAAGAGAATCAAACTGCTAAACAAAGAGAGTTTTTCGAGTATATAACTATACCCCCTTTCACAGTTCTTGCACTGCCAAAGCAGCCGTGGAGTCAAAAAACAACCGAAAGTCCTTGCACAGTAAAAACAGTCACAGAGCCAAGAAAGTTCTTGCACTGCCACAGCAGCCACAGAGCTAAAAAACAACTTACAAAAGTCCTTGCACTGCCAATACAGTCGCGAAGCAATAAAACAACCTCTGAAGATCTTTGCATATCAGGAAGAACAGGCAGAACAAAAAAGCTAACTACTTCTAAGGCAAGTGATAGCAAAACAAAAGATAGCTTCTTCTTCCCAAACAGCTACTTTTATAAAACTTCTCCATTTCTCTACAATTCATATATGTATGTCTCATTTCTTATCCTGTGTTTAATAATCATTACTCCTTGCTGATATTTAACAATAACTTACTCCTTTATTGATATTCATAACAACTTGACAATAATTAATACATGCAATCACAATTCTAGTAACACCAGAAACCTGCATTCAACAAGAAACCTAAGAAAAACATTAGACTAACCCAAAACAGAGATATAAACAAAAATATGAACAAAACAGGTCAGATCTGCAATAAATCATCTGATCTCGCAATAATGAATGCTCCGTCACTTCGTTGACAAGCTATCAGATAATCTTGCTATTTATAGCATTGTTTTAATTACAGAAAAAATTTGTTGCATATTATTTTTCCAGATCTTTTTTCGATCACTAAGTATTAGGCATTTTATATATT